TTCTTATATTTTTAATTATGAAATTATAAGCAAAATTCTTTTTTTTTTTGGCATAATTCTTATGTCTTGAAAAATTAAAACTATAAATAGAATTCTATGCTGAAATTCGATGTGAATTATAGATCGTCTAAAGTGGATTGAAAAAAATAGCATTGCGGGATCCCTTTCTTCTGAGGTAGTTGAATATTCGTAGAGCCTTTGATTTCCGTGTTTCTCTCGCGATGCAATTGACGTATAAGAAAGAATTTGACGTGCGGCTAATAGCTCGATGCCTGAATAGACACGCGTGCGAGTTGCGTCGCAGAAATATTTCCCGAATACGAGAATCTGAAGAAACGCGGTGGATATGGTACGAGGCGGGGATGTGACGGGCGCCTGCGAAATTATTGCTTTTCGCGTGGCTCGCGAATGTTCCGTTAGCCGCAACGAAGAAATTATTTACCATCCTATCGGCATTGTGTGCCGCATTAAAGTCCGGCTGGCCGGATACCGGAGAGACGAGCCGAGAGTAGAGAGACGGCTTGAAACTTTACTGCCAGGAGATGATCACCGTTACCGTTCACCACAAACACGGCAATGAGCCTCGTGGTTGTTTTCTTTTCTCCGCGAGACGCTCGCGACTTTTGTCTTTCTCTTTTTCTCTCTCTTTCTCTTTCTCGACCATCTCGGCTGGCAAAAAGAAACCTGTAACGAGGATTGTAAATCGTTAACACATCGAAAAGAATCCCGGAAACGAGTCGTTCCGTTCGCCTTTTTTCCCCTATCCGTGCGACTTTGAGACTTTCCCTACGATCGATATTCCGCACGATTTATCATCGGCAACGGACATTAAATCGACCGCGATCAAGTGTCACTTTTCTTGCTTTCTAAATCAATCGCAAGAAACTATCTTCATTAAAACGCCCAGCGCTCGTCATTTTTAATGGAATTCCCGTGTATGTACATCATTAGACGTAGATTAAAAGAAAGGGACAATCGAGGCACACGTGCACACGTGATTATCGAATTCGGACGTTCACTCCGATTTCATCTGTCTCTCGCATCAACGATCATTAATCACAGATCAAGGATCGCCGTCTTTCTTTTGTCTCAGATATAGAGCCTATCCTTTTCTTTTCCATAGAACGTTGCGTGACGTCACACGAATCCGTGACCCACGGGGGTCGATGATCGGAAACCGCGAAACCCGGACGGATCAACGACCAGTGCGCGCGAGTAAATCGATCGATCGATCGATCGGGTGCGGATTCCCCGGATCGAATGGAACGTGGCCGGTCGCGCGTGAAGGGAAGAAACGCGAAACACGTCCGATTTCTTCCGTCCCGTTCTTACCCTGGGCGGCTTCACGCCGTTCTGGGCACACCGGCCGTGCATAGTTAACCCGGCAATTCGGCCGTGACGAAAATGAATTTTACTTGGGAAATGGCGATACCACGCGTCCGATACCGCTCGCTCTTACAACGAGCGATATTCGGCATGCGCGAAATTTGCATGACCGCGAAGCGCGCAACGATCTTACAATAATCCTTCATCGACTATAGATATGGAACTGGCGGACGAATGACGTGTAGGTATGAATTTCGTGAATCGATACCGTGAAACTGGAACAAATCTGTAACGTAGATAGAGAAAAGGTTCTATGTTTGAACATGTAATTTGTAACTTTTGTAATACGTAACATGTGTTCTGCTTCCAACGGCTATAGTTTGCTCCAGTTGCGAGGCATCGAAGCGTAGATTTCATAATGATCCGAGCCAACTGGAACAGCTTAGACACAGAATCGATAACCAGCATTGTTTTCAAGTTTAGAAATAAAATAGAAATCGAAACGCGTTGAAAACATTCAGTGATTTTATGGTGAAGAAGAATAACAGAACTTGAAGACTTAATATCCTATTGTAAAGACAATTATTTTAGAGATAAAGGAATAATTGTTCATGTTTTAAACATACGCATATAAGATTTTCATCTTTATAGCAACGCCAAGCGGTATTTTCTTAGTGCGTTTTTTAAACAGGGCAAGTTTAATAATTATTTGAATATATATTGAGCATCTTTCGATTACTATCCGGCGCGTTACGCAAGTCCGTCCCGGTTTTAGGCCTGGTCTTTTCATTCGCAAAACTGGTTCGAAACGAAATATGCTTTTGAGAAAAACGAGTTTGAAACCGTGACATTCCTGAGCGACTTGTTACCAATTTTGTGACGTAAAAATCGATACATTCCGCCGTACGGTGTACTGTACGTACAGCAATAATCCGTTTCTGGAGAGATTAGCCGTATAAGCTGATACGCGATTACGGAGACCGCGTGAGGCGAATCGCCGGCGGTACTTTAAACACGTCTGGTAACAATTTGTCAACTTCTGGTTCGACTGCTTGCTACCAGTTCTAAAGTTAGATGCCGAGGGACTCGCGGCACGTGTATCTCGCTCGAATATTCCGTAATAAAGCGTCGCTATATGTAGAAAATGAAATAATAATACGATGTAATAATTCCATAAATTCTTCAGTCTCGAGAGCTAAAAATTCTTAAAATTTTTTAAATATTTAATGAAAATCCGTTCACTTTTGTTTAAGTTTTATGTCTATCCCGTTTTCCATTCTTAAAATAAAATAAGTAAGAAACAGTGGATATATATATCTAATTAAAGGTACATTAAACTGGAGGAAGATTTTTAGTTTTTTAATTCAAACTTGCTAAACGTGAACAGGAATAGAAGACGCCGAGGAAATTAGAGTTATCATCTTTTTAAGTTACGACTCTTGTATGTATGTATAGAGAACCCATGCACCTTAAAAAGAGTTGACCCAAGCTTTTAGTTTTCATTTCTCATTTATGCAATATACGAGTCACGGGGAACAAGCCAGAGGTACAGTCATGAGAGTTGAAAGGACGAGAACACTCGTTAGGGCGTGCCTTTCCGTGTTCTTTGCAGCCTTGCATCAACTTTCTCCGCATTGTCGGCGAGCTGGACGTTCCTCGCATCCTTCATGCTATCATGCCTCGCTATTACCATGCTATTACCATAAAATGCACGGTCAAAATTAATAGCAATAATAAATATGGCGCGCGAACTTGGCTCGGAAATAAGAAAATTGACTATGATAACGGTGAGAATGATATAAATTAATAATAAATAAGCGAAACTCATTTTAATTTTCTTGTACTCAAACGTTCTGGCTTTCTCCAAACCTCGAAGTTGACCTAAGCTCGTCCCTTCGACACCGATTAACATAGGACGCAGGCAGAATTCGTAATCGACGACTCTTCACAAATGTCCTGTTACATTTTTACACGTGTCAGAATTCAGCGGCGACAAATCCGAAAGCATCGTATAACTCACAGTCGAGAACAATGGCGTGAGAGAAATGTTCAATGAGTTCTTCATTTCGAACGAGATTTCTTGGTTAATCTTTTATGAGCGTGTCTGACTTTGACTGAAGATCGTCCCCTCAATCCTCCTCTCTTCTACGTTTCGTTATTTTTCTATTTGAAATTTTTCCGTTAGCTCTTGCGACACGTTGTACCCGCGGGAGGCGGGAATTAGCATAGTTCGTGAGCGGAATATCGAGTCTCGGATTAATACGTGCATATGAGTGTCACGACGATCGCGATCGTGATATGGGCGGGTCACCGCGGCTGGGATACATGTGTGTACACGACGTTTGCGTTAGCCGTAACACTTTCAGGGCTCGATCGTCAAACGGTGATATCGACGACCGTAACGGTACGTCTTTCCGTACGAACGCGCACGTTGTCGTGGAATCCCCACGCGCTAGGAACGTCACCACGTGCATCCATTGTCCTCTCGCCTTGTCGGCGATTGCATAATAGATCTTCCGGCACGAGGTAGCAATTTGACTTTTGCACGCAGCTGTTCCATCGTCGCGGCGCGGGCGGCGCGCTCGAACGCCCCCGAGACCCCATTGCATAAAAAAAAGGAGCACGATTATTAAACGCGCTAAAATAAAATTGCGTTATCCCACGCCGTCGTTACGCAACAGGGATTCCGGGGATGCCGATGTCAGCGGTCGCGGAATAAAATATAATAATTATTATCCCACGACCGCGGGTTGTAATTCGCGGCTCTGATTTCCTGGTGGGTTCTCACGCCCGGCTATATGCACGCTCCAAAAATTCATGTTTCGAACATTTGAAGACCCTGTATAAGAAACTGTTTAGCATGAGGAACTCTAGGCCTTTCTCGAGTATCGTTTTACGAGGAAAGCACGATAGATGAGGCTGAAGTAACGAGAAGGAGAACCCTTCGCAAGTCAATTTGGAGCAGATTGTCTCTCCTATTAATGACTGTCATTTACCGGGTGTCATCCCTGGTCCTACAGCATCCACGTTGTCGCTTCGTGTCGCACGTAGTCTTTTCAATGTCCGTCGGAAGATGAGACGGATTCTCGGCGTCATTAGCAAGGTGTCTCTGTTCGGCCTCGGTCCATCATTCTCCGTCCGTCTTCCTCTTTCTCCTTCTTCGCGACTCTTCCACTTTGCCACTACGTTCGCTTCCTCAGCTCGCCTTCCTGCCTCGCGCCAGGTGTGGTCATTAATTTCACACAGCGCAACGGGGAAAGGTCGACGAGGGACGAACAAAGGTACGGAATTGTCCGCTCGCTCAGTCGCTCATCGAAGCGAGGGGAGAAAATGAGAATCTTTGCGAGACAATTACTCGCGAGGGTGAAATAAGCACCGCGATGGTGCTACAGCGACGAATGTAGCCGCGGCGACGAGAAAATATATTCACTGTAAACCTAAAAAATGCACGGAATAAAATAAAGAGATATTATTTTACGAGCGAAAATTATTTTGCAGAATTAATTTAGAGCGTTTCGGAGTAATGCAGTTTTTGAAATGTTTTTTACCACAATTTTTAAATTGTTGAAAGCTATTAAAAAATAATTGAATTTTCGTCGGCTTTTTTTATGCCCGACTGGCGGGGTACCAGGAAACGACGTTATTTATATGCGTTCTTTTTACGACACCGGCAGGTCGGGTGGTTCCTCCAGCGCGTCAAGTGCTGGCACGGGATCGTCGACCGGTGGAGGTCCTGGGAACCCGGCTGGAGGTGGCAGGATGGCCGTCATCGGCGTGACCAGGAATGTGCGTCTGAGGCGTCGCGGTAACGCCGGCTTCGGTTTCTCATTACGAGGTGGACGCGAATACGCCGCCGGGTTTTACGTCAGTGACGTTCAACCGGGTGGCGAAGCTCACAGAAATGGATTAAGGGTATTTATCTTTAATCATTGCCTTTTTTATCATACCAGTCATACAAAAATCTTCTTTTTACATCGTTTTTTAAACATTATCTGGTGATTCAGTTGAGAATTATTTTTATACAACAGTAATTGTCGTGTGATTGTAACGCTAATTAGTGTGGGGATCGCGAAAAGATGTTTGTTAACGATTTCGCTTTCGACTTATCGCTTTCAGGTAGGCGATCAGATCCTGAGGGTGAACGGTTACCCGGTGGAGGACGCCGTCCACCAGGAGGTCGCGCTCCTGGCGAAGAATCAGCAAGTCCTGGTTCTCAAAATTCGAAGTAACTATCTCGTCTTCATCTTAATTATCCTTTGCCGCGAGATATAATACTTCAGACGCAAAAACTTTCATTGCACGCGCCGCGTAGAGATAGCCTCGCGATCTGAAAAAAAAATAATTAATAACAGTAATACGCGCGGCGTGTTGCAATAATCCCTATATCTCGTTGCTGATAGCGGGAATTTATAGTTTTCGATTTGTATTGCAGGCGTAGGGATGATACCCGTAAAAGAGTAAGTATCGAAACTTAATTAAAACCTCGCGCGCACCGTACGTAATACGTGCGCTTCTTCCCCCTTTTCCCTCGATCGACATCCTCTCGTTACAAAAATCGCTTATGATTCGCAAAGCAATCCGAACGATCCGGTTACCTGGCACATGGTGCAGCAACAGCAACAGCAGCTGCAGTACAACGAAACTGGTTTAGGCGGTGTGCCGAGCGCAGAAGTCAGAATTCGGATTCTCGTCGGCGAGAAGGGCCGTCTAGGCTGCGGCGTCTGCAGAGGCATCGTACCTGGTCTCACCGTTCAGGTTAATATAGCATCCTAATTGGACATAGTCATGTCATGCCATGTGAAAGCACCTGTCATTCTTGAAAATTTTCTCTTGGTATCGCTAATAAAATTATTCTACTTCGATTGAAATTAAAGTTAATGGAATTGGATGGAAATATTTTGCTGAAAGTATTATGAAATCGATGAAAAGTAAACTAAAATTTATTTTAAAAAATTACTGATTATATTTCAAAATAAATCATAATTTTCCTTATGAAATGTAATGTAAATACTGTGAAATATAAGGAAAGTTAAATTATACTGTTGAGAGAGAAAAGTAATAATAATTTTTTTTTTAATATTGATGAAATAATAAAATGGTTAAATTGAAAAAGAATTTCAAATACATTTTAGTAAAATTTCATTATATTTTCAATAAAATATTTTTATCTAGACATTTCTAAAAAAATCTTTAATTTATTTCAATAAAAATAAATCTCTTATAATTCTTTAATTTGATATGCATGTTAAAAAGTAACATATAATGCAAATAGATTCGAGTAAAATAACAATCAACTCCGAACTCTTATATTTAAGATTCGACGTTTCGAAAAGCTCGCGCCTTACGCGAAAGGAGCGGGCATTAGTTTTACATTTATAAAAAGTGAATCTTTAGGGCACGAGGGAAGGCGGTCCCGCGCGAGCAGCTGGCCTGAAGGCCGGCGACGTGATAATCTGGTGCAACGGGCAACGGCTCACCGATCTTCCGTTTGAGCGGGCCATCGAGATGATGCGCAGCTCGGCGATTCTCGACCTCGTGGTGCAACGACCCACGTCCCCCAGTCACCTTTACGACTGTCCCGAACCGCTGTGGACCCGCGGCTCCAGCGGCTATGACTCCGAGACGTCCAGCGTGGCGGCCGCGAGCCCGCCGCCCCAGCATCAGAACAACCCGTCGTCCTCGCCGCAGCATCACCATCACGACGGCAGGATGCATCAGCGGTATCCGCGCGAGGACGCCTGCAACAGAAACGGCAGGTCAGTTGCGAATCTAATCTCAATTATATTTCCTCAAAATTATTATCGTTATTAAATTAATCTCGAAATTCTGAACGAATTGCCAGGCTTACTTTAGACGTTAATACGCCCATTGCAAAATCGCATAGCAGATTTTTCAGAGCGATATACGAATCACGATAACGGATCGTCTCGTTTATCGCAAACTCGGAAAGAGCACGAGTCGCACGATTGCCTACGGCAGGCGTTACGCACGTGTCTTTTCCAACGGTCGCCGACCGTTATCGGGTGCCATCAATGAATTTACACCTGGAGAAAGTCGGTCCATTAATAGGACACTCGGCGATAACGATCGTAGTGTCCGCAGCGGCTCGAATTCCTTGCCGCCACACGTATATATAAACATTCATCCTGTTCCTCGTTCTCCCCGGTGCTCCCGCGATAAAAACGCGCATCTCGCGAATTCCGCTCTTTAGAAATCGGCACGGACACACTTACGTAATCGAACAAATCCCGCTTTATTTCCGGTTGTGACGTTGTAGGATATGCTGCCCTCTCGCCCTGTCGACCACCAGCTGCAGTTCCTCCTCGGAGTGGGCGCACGTGGATCAGGTAAAGGATTTTAAAATAGATTATCTCGTTTCATATACAATTATATATTATATCATATGCAATATAAAATCAACTTAAAGAATTGTCTTGTTACGTTAAGCAGCTTTTTTTTCGAGAAAAAACAATATAAATTACTATTTTCTTCATTAGAACTTCAAGAATTCAACTCACGAAGTTTAAATTAGCATATATATTTTTTACTTCGGTCTGTTTTACCTCTTATCAAAATATATTGTTTTAATAGTGCTGCCTTATCAGCAGCGCGCACGCGTTCTGTACGATAAGAAGCGGTGCGGTAGCTTATCAACCTTTACCGTTACGCACTGAATAACACGCTTATTATTTCTATTATAGAAAAGTAGGATATGTACAACGAACACTTGAAGGTTTATATTAACTATAAAGTTTCTATCACATAAACTACTTTTGAATAATAAATCTATTAACTGTATGACATTCATTATATTGATTATATGCATATAAAAAAAAATATATAAAGACATGTCTTTTTTAAATTACATTGTCTCACAATTAGTTATCATGCCAAAAATAATTGTTGGATTAATAATCGCTGAAATAATTACTGAATCCATACTAAATCTTCTTTTAAGTAACATTAATTTTCACCGACTTTTCCGCTTGAGATTCCATATCCGTTAATAATAAAACATAATTACGATAATATATTTTGAGTTAATACATTTTCCATTTTGGCGTGTTTTTTTTTTTTTTCAAGTACGCGAGAACGCTTAAAAGATAGAGATGCAACGCCTCTCTCTCATTGGGATTTAATTTGACCGTTTTCTAGGCGCCGGAATGGTCGCGTAAACCGAATAACACAACCGTGATTCGTGTTAATCAGAGCTCGAACCAGAACCAGAATCACCGGCCTGTACCGGGTGGGCAGTATCACTTCAATCCGCGCGGCAATTACGACGATGACATCGACAACGAGCCGCTTTACGATCCCGTGGCGCCCAGGATCGACTACGAGGTGCACGACTTCGACGCAAATCCGCGAGACGAGGCTAATCGGCGGCTGGCTTATCGGCGAGATAACGCGAGGCAGCAGGACGTGATTTATGATGGTCCCGCGGACGACTTACCCATGTACCATGGCTCCAAAGTAAGGAGAGATCTGCATTCGATCTGTTTTCGTTATCTCGCGCCATTCCTTTTATCTGCGAAAAATGTTGCCTCGTTATAGCGATCGGTTTAATTGAATATACGAGCGTGATATGTTTTAACGTGTCGCGAATAATTTTCTGCGACAGGAAAACGGCCAAGCGGTCGGCAATCGATTGACGGACCTGCAACTCATGCAGCGACCGAGCGAGGCCGAGAGGAAGACGATAACGACCGTAGAGGTGCATCAGTCGGTTTGTCCACCTGCACCTCCGCCGCCGCTTCCTTACAAATGGCCAGCAGGTTTGACGGCTTTTCCCGCAGCATCGTTAGAATAATAACTGACCGCGTTTGCTCGAGCGCCAAGTCGAAAGAAGTCCTCCTTCCGCTGTCGATCCGTTCGAAAACATAAATATTGCAAGTTCTCTTCACGGCTTCTTTTAACAAATAGAATATATTCCGGCTCGCTAAAAGGATTTAAAATGTTTTTCATGCCGTCTTTTCTTAGATAAACATGACAATTTGATTTACATTTATGTACCTTTCGATATCTTTTTAAATGATTTTTTAAGATTTATAAATCTCGAATTTAACAAGCTCATCCGCTTCTAATATTTCATATTACAGTAACGGGTCACCGCGTACGTTGTCTACTGTTACAGAGACCAAACCAATGAACGCCATGGGAATGCAAATGGGCAGCACCATGTCGATGGGCAGCACCGGGTCGACGGAGACCGAGTCCAGCCTCGAGTCGTCCTGCAGCAAGGATTCTGCGTCAACGTCGTCGTCCTTGTCGACGTCGTCCTGCGAGCCGCCATCCACAGTTTCTTACGGATCGATGGCCGGCGGCGGATCCAGCAGCGTCACCAGCAAAACGACGGAGACTTCGACGGCCGCATACGCGACGCCGCGCAAGGATGTCGCGAGGACGTCGCCGATCGCCAGCACCGATCTGAGCACCGCCATCACGCAGGAGTTGCAGAGGCGAGCGCAGCAGGTAGGATCGATCGAGATTGAAGATAAAATCGGTCGTGTATCTCGATTCTTCTTGTGTGATAAGATCGCTAAACAGCGAGGACAATTCGAGAACAAAATATAAATTCGCGACACAAAGAGTTCCTATATTGCGTTCCTATCGTATTATCGCGCGTATCGCAATCAGGACGTTGCTTGTTTTCCCTCTCGTTGAACGTAATTTTTTTAATCGCCATCGTTATTTTGCAACGATATCTTTCCGATTGGTCCGTTTATCTATGATATTTTATATGCGTTTTATGTTCTCCGTGTCTATCGCAGTAGAAATTGATGAGCATTATCAATGAGTTGAAATACTTCGCGATATAATGTGCCGCAAAAAGTTTAATCTTCTATCGACGTCTGAATCATCTGCTATCTCTACATCGAAATTGTTTTTCTCGAAACTATAAAAAATTTATTATTTTTAATTTATCTCAATAATTAATTATTAATTATCTTTAGTAATTATTTTTAATTTATTATATATCCGTATGTCGCATTCACCACATGTCGCGTATTACTTTTTTTTCTCGCAGAGGATGAACAATGCCGCTAAAGCGGAAGCGCCGAAGGAAAAAGCTCCGGATAATCGCAAACCTCAGAATCCCGAAGCTCTAAGATCGCAGGAACAAAAAGTCACACACGATAAGGTCAGTTGCTCACAATTGCATATATGCGACTAGTTGCACAAAGAGTGAATATCGTCTATAATTGGTACGCAGTCCGTTGATCTAGCAACAGCCGTAGTGTTATTTTAAGCGGCATTACACTACAAATCCAAGTATGTTATTTTAGCTGAAGCTCTTCTTACACATTTCTTGCCGTTTTAAATCCCGTCATTTAATGAACAACAAAAATAAATTGTATATTGCCAGTGATGATTAACCGACAGATTTATTAAAGCGACTTAACTGGTGACAAATATAAACAAGCTCCACAACGTTTCAACCCTTTTCAAGTGAAAAGTATAAACAGAACGTGACACCAAAGAGACCATTGTTATAAGACAAAATATAAAAATATATAAATATATATATATATATATAGATATATATAATTTAATTGAAATAATAAAATAAAAATAGAATTATTTAACACGCAAGAAACATGTAAAAAGAGCTTCAGTCAAATGTGTCATTTTTAGACGTTATAAATGCAAAAATAACACACTTGGATTTGTGCGCTCATTCGCTCAACTAGTTAATTGCTCAACTATTGCGAATTTTACGAAATGGTACATGACTCTTCTTATCAGTTTAGTTTTATCAATCACCTTCTCGATAGTTCAGAGAGGACAGAAAAGAGTCATCATTTTAGAAGAAGAAATTACCTTCTTCTTATCAGTTTAGTTTTATCAATCACCTTCCCAATGCTTCAGAGAATGCAAGAGAAATAGTTTTTAGTCATCATTTTGAAGAAGTTGCAGGCAGGTTGTTAGCCTAGCCAACCCCCAATCTGGAGGATCGGACCTCAAATATAGAGGGGTACCCGTGACAAGAGATACACTCTCGGTTGCCATTATTTTTTCGAGAGGTGGCGATCGAATAAAAACCGACGATTTTTGGTCGGATTTGAACTCGGATCTTCGGCTCGTTAGAGCAGCGCACATCTTTCTGCGCCACGATCGCCACAATATTCTTATACATTTGTTAATATACATTTGTCAATATATACATTTGTCAATGTATACATTTGTCAATGTATACATTTGTCAAAGTTATAGGCTGCGTTATTCGGGGAGCGCGCTATTAGCGCTATTGTATCGTTCCATCTTTATCGCTCATCAGGTGTAAAACAAGGATAAAATAAGCAAATAGCGTTGATAGCGCGCTCTCCGAACGCAGCCATAATCTACGCAGGGGTATCAATTATTATAATATCCAAAATCTTAATCAAAATAAATAAATACGTTATGCATGCACTCTATGAGAAGCTTTAAATTATCTGAATAATATCTTAAATGCAATTATTAATAAACTTTATAATTTAGAGAGTGAGAGAGTACCATATAAATTATTCAAACGACATTGCCGTCTTAATCATGAGCCATCATTCTTAAGGATTTCGCTTGACCATGTATGTACGTCATTGTCAGTAATTAAATATTGTAGCGATCGATTCCTTTCTCGCTCCATTCTCAAACCGTATAGAATTCTACTGACTTATAGTAAGGATTTTTGTTTAGAATATACCGATTAACTTGCAGATCCAATTATTTATTACCTTGTTCATGAATGATTAAATTAATTACTTTTCTCGATGATTTTCGGGCTCGACTAAAAGCCTAGTTTTCTCTTTGTTTCTTCTATCTCGCCTCTCTCTCTGACTCTCCTAATCTCACCCTTCCTGTCTCTATTACCCTATTAACTTCCTAATTCGTTACTATTCCTAACAAGCAGAGATTTAATTGATATATTGTTGTGCCTTTAAAAAATCTTTTTTATTCTTCTGAGTTCCAGCGATTTAACTATATTAAAATATATTGAAATTAGAATTTAATTATTAAACATAAATTCATAGCGTTATGAATTTAATATCAAAATATAATAGCACTTTCACCTTGAAGTTGAATATATTAGTAACAAATGCAATCATGAAAGAAATAATTGAAGAAAAATAAACGGGCGTTAATTGTAGCACATTATTTATTACAATTTAGAGCTAATTGAATTTTTGAATCCACTGACTAGATCGAAATGTCAATGCGGTAAAATCGACATTTTACTTTTTTCGCAGCTGATGGAGGAGTTTAAGCGTGCACACCAAAAGATGTTCAATTCTGCTCAGCAAAAGGCGCAGTCCTCGGAACAGGTTTCCAAAGAAGTTCAGGAGAAGGTAAGAGAGAATGAGAATTGTCGAAAAATTTATCTTGAAAATTGCGCAACTTACATTTCGGAATACAATAAAATAACATTCTCCCGATTCTAAAATAATAAAATAACATTTTTGGGATATACCTTTACATACATTGCAATTTTCAACTATTGACCTTTGTAGACACATAAAGCTTCACGAATTTACTTGCCGAGCTTGAAATATATGATACTCCAACTTTCATGCGATAACAATAGTCCACGTGACGCCAGTCAGGTGTACTGTTCAGCGATAAGCGTATCTTTCATACCGATTAGTGACGTAACATACTGCACATTGTAATTGCGATCAAACATTAACATCATATACACATCAATGTTGTTTTAACGTTATAGAAATAAATTAAATTAATTTTAAAAAAAATCAATAAATTGTAAACAAAACGTAAATTGAATTGCAAAAAAGGCGAAGTAAAAGACATCAGTAAGTTGTGAAATAACAAAAAATTAAGTTAAATTGAGATATAACGCAAGATTTATACGATATCAATTACGATAACTTCAAAGGTGATCATAATTAACAACGTAGAATTAATGGCCGCGCGAAAGCATGATATTCAGCGCGTTCGAAAACAATAGCCGCCTTCCATCGTGTACCAAGTTAATTTCACTTTAACGAGATGTCGAAGAAAATAGATGGCGAAGATAACTCGAGTCTCTCGACCTGCGTGCTTTTTCTCGACTGGTGCGGGTATTTTCGAGGCGTAGCTAACAGCCGGCTCGGGTAGCGAGTTTTTAATTACACAACCGCTAAGCAAGGATCCGCCGCGCCGGTGCAAACAGATAAGAGCACGAAATTATGAAGACCCCGGAATAGTTATCGTCGGTGTGGCGTGCAGGCTACATAGCGGCGCGCACGTGTGCGTGCGTGCGTGCATTTGCTGACGCGCCGATACGTTTGTTTGTGTGTATACCTGTGGAACATATACGTCGACTGCGACGCTCGATGGTATTGTTGAAACGACGAGAGATAGCGAGCAGTTTGCGCACCTTAAAGTCACGTATATTCCGTTTTGTTTCAGTTCTTGCATTACCGCGCGGCAAAGAAAATCTACGAGCGATATTCGTACAAAGGTAGACCGCGTTTAGTCGAGGAAGTAACATATTAGCGAATTAATTATTTGCTTGAGTAAATACAAACCAATTATTCTTAAAACATCGCTTTTTTTATATAATATATATATATATATAAATCTTCATAATAATTTAATCGATGATATAATAATAATAAGCCTTATACCGCAGAAATTACTAATAACCATTCAGAAGCGTTATTTAAAGCCAAGCGGTATCTCGAGTACCTATACGGATCGCTGGAATAATGGAAATAACGGGAACGACTGTCTCTCCAGATTAGAATGTGTATCTCTAGATTGGAGTGTGCTGCAACACAAAGTGATCTCGCGTAAAAAATAAATTTCTCATTTTTTCGTAGATAAATCTGGATATTTTTTTTTTTCGAGTGATTGAGCGTGTTATCGCAAACAAATCACTGCCTCACTCTTCCTGCGACCAGGTGACGGCTCGCCGTTGCTGTTACACAAGCGCGAGGCCGATTGGCAGCTTGTCGCCACCTTATCGTCCATTATTGTCCGTTAATCATCGTTATCGGGACGTTCGCGGATTCATTCGTCGCAAGACCGGCGACGGCGATCGTGGGGTCCGTCGTGCGCGCGCGGGGCATCCGATACCGCGAGTGCAACGCGACACGCCGCGCCGCGTCGACTTTTGTGCCATATTTTTCCTCGCGGAGCCTCGACTGCAGTTTCCTACGAATTGCGGCGGACGTGCAAAATAATAGGCCTTACATAAGAACGCCGGCGTAAGGCGACGTAACGTTGCGCTCTTCTTGCCGCGCGTTTCTTCAGTTGCCTGCTGGTCGTGTCGCGCGCGATCGACGGTCCGCGAAATAAATACCGCAAAAACACGAGGTCGCCGTGCAATTGTGACTCGAAGAAAATAGCGGGGAAGGGAGCGGGGAACGCGAGAGAAGCTATAGCTGTGACGGAGTGACGAGAGAATATTCATCAAAACATCAACGCGTGAAAGAGATCCTTCTATCGACGACCGCGGTTCTCTATTTGAGAAGAAAATTTAAAAAAAAATTAGGAATTTTAAAATATCGAGAAATAAGTTCAACGAAAACTGCCATAAATAAGATTGTTTTAACATATAATTTGTATGTGTCGGAGATATAATCGTACTTCGTGCGAGTGAAATATAATATATTTTAATAGATGATAATATACATGTGACTGTTCGATATACATTGAATGATAAGTGATAAAAAGTGCGAGCGCAAAAAGGAACAGATAACTCACGGAGAACGTGAAGAGTGGAATACATATGACGTATTAAATTACTTAGATCGCTACTGCTATAATTAGAGTAATTCAGAATCAAGTATGGATAAGAAAAACTCGAACGCGAATAATGCAACCGACACAATGAGGAAAAAACAAGCGCTGGTCACAATCACGCCTTACAACGTTAGTAAATAATTAAATATATATATATAACAATTAGCGTTGATATGCAATTCAATTTATGACACCGGCACGTGTGTCCAAGGACGATTTATTTTACTTCGGTAAACGTATTTAATATTTTCGTGTCGACAGATTGAGAATACATTTTAAAAATATATGTAATACATATATTCTATGCATATATTACTCGTCCTAAATAGTAATTTTTTCAGTTATTAAAATATGCGTAAATCATTTTAACATCTGATTTCACTTTCGCATCAAATGTCATATTCAAAATTACTTATAAACTTCCTATTGGAATGACACATTAACATATCGCGTTCTGTTGCATTCTCAGGAACAGGAAAAGAGAGTGCTCATCAACGAGACAACGACGACGGCGGCAACGACGACGGCGACGACGGGTCCTCCGGTGCCCCCGCCGGCGCCTCCTCCGCTTCCGCTTCCTTCTAAAAACAGGAACAGCGACGACTCGGTGGAGATGCAAAGTATCGAGTCGTTTAAGCTGAAGGAGACACCCAACACGGTGCCGAAACCACCGCCGACGTACTTCCCGGTGACGAGCTCCTCCTCGACGAACGGTAGTCCGCGGCACGCCGGTACCGGAAGTAAGGTTCCCAAGGATGCCGCGACGAGTCCCGTCGCAGAGCTCGCCAAGAACTCATCCGCGTCGGTCTCGCCGACCAACGCTTCGAAATTACCCGGCGGCAAGGTGGCCATCAGGATAGGAGCGTATGAGGGTGAGACGAAGCAGCCATCCAGATTGGAATTCTTGCCGCAACAGCCGAGTCGCGACAAGAACGGCGTTGTCGACGAAGCGGACAATGGCCCTGTCGTCTCCAGGCTGCAGAACGAGCTTGCCGCGACCCTGCAGAGGTCGAACCTCAGAAGAAAGACTGAAGGCGTAAGCGATAAATAAAATAAAATCATATTATATATATATATATGACAAAGTTATCGAAGAATAAAATTGTCATATATAGAAAAATTATACGAGATCGACGAAAGAAACTAAAACTACAATCGTTATAAATATTTCGACTGTATGCCTTTTTCTTGAGTATTTTTGAAATTTATAGAAATAGTTAATTGCGAATTTTATATAACGTATTAATAATATTTTAATATATAATATTAATAACATTTTATATAATGTAATAATTAAAGCATTAATAATATTTTGATATAATATAAATTTTAATAATATTTAATATAATTTTTACATTTTTGTAGCTAATTCTTTAAAAAAAACGACGTTTCGTAAAAATGCAAATGTGTTTTTGCGTTTCAGGAAAATCAGTCGCCCGTGAAGACTATTCATGAGAACGTGGCGAGCAACGTGTCCAACAAAGAAACAACGAATTCAGAGCCGAACAAGCTTCTTCAGAACAACATCGAGAAGCTCGCTTCCGCTCTCAGCAACAAAGTCACCATCAAAGTGAACCCGGAGAACAGTAGTCGATAAGAAACGCAATTGAGTCGAAAAGCTGTAGCAACAATCGTCTTGTATGTTCGTAAAATTTTGTACATTTTTGCACGTTTCGCTAACCATTTCGACTTATTATATATAAGTGAAAAAGGCGCTCCCCCTATTGGTGAGGTTCTTTTACACGTATACGTGTTTTTTATATCTTATTTATTATCGCATTATACACCGAAAGTAAGGAGTGAAGGAGCTAATTCTTATTAATCGAGACGAGGTTTCACGACCAGTATTTATCACGTAGTCTTTTGAATGTAATCCTACTGCGATCGCGGCTATGTATGAATCTTAATAGAAAATTCGACGAAATGTTGAATTTTTAAATAAAATCAACGACACGTAAAGTGCTTGATCTTGAAGTCCTTATCCATTTCCTAAATTAAAATATGAAATATATGAGGCATTCAAGATTTTTAGAATTTAAGATTTAAGACAATTCCTACGAATTTCATTATAAACATAAACGTAATTAATCCAAAACAATATATTAATTTCGTGACTTTAATTTTAACGAAAATGTATGCATTGTATATTTATCACCCTTTATAGAACATCTCTCGAGAAGTTGCCTGTAAATAATAACATGCGCATCTTTCCCTGACATTTCGATCGAGGAAGCGTTAATTCAGCGCGGTTAGGCAACTGACAAGTAGACGATTCTTGAGCGCTTTGGAAATCCTCCGTTCGTGCAGAATCTCATAGATGATCCGCGCGGCGCGATACCGTCCCCTTCCTCGCCGCGCGAGAGAAGTTATCCATGAACGCGTCACGTGGAACGAGGTCGTCCGGTCGGTCGCGGGGTAACAGGATACGCAAGTTATTGCTGTCAGAGTACCGCGAGTTCTTCGAGACGATCCTGGTGGAGTCGCCGTTCGCGGAGACCACGAGAAACGGACGGGGAGTGCGTCAGGTCGCCCTGGGCCTCACGCCAACCAGGTTGATCGTCGCCGCCGATATCCTCCAGACTAATCCCGATTTCTTTTGCCCGCCCGGTATCGACGCCAGTATCGAGAGCTTCGAACTGGTCTCCGTGTATCCCTTAGAATATGTCACGCTCAGCGTGTTCAGGAGGAGACGTCGCAGGACTCTGAAGGCAAGGTATACTCCTTCGACAGACAAAACTAGGGGTATAAACAAAATTATAGTCTCCACTTTCTCTTCTCCTCCTTAAACAGAAAATCCGTAGATAAATCTTTAATCAGTCTTTTCTTAGGGATTTTTACACTTGATTTATCTCACTCATTGCCCTTAGATTCATTAACGGTCGAGTTAATTATTATGAGCTCGGCGGCGCGCAGCGCAGGGTTTCTTGGAAGATCTGGTGCGAACAGGTACGAAGATTACTGACCCAGAAGGTGGACGGTAGCTCGTTATCCGAAACAACGGCGGCGAGCTCGTCGAGCAGTAGCACCCTGTATTTGTTGTCGTCCGAGATCGAAGTCAGGAGTAATCGCGACGCGAAATACAAGAGATCGGTATTCAGGTGGCGATGTAAATTAATTTTGGTTCCTTTACGTTATTCACCCCCATATTTAACGGCTGTATTTATTCAATTGCATTTGATTCACGCAATAATGGCGAATCTGGAGTCAATTTTGAGCGAAAACGGTTTAATTTCCTTGACACTTGTAAATAATGTCACATATTTAAAAAAAACGAGTACAGAGTATGGAATCATTATGGAGGAGCCGGCGATTATATTATTCCCACGTGGACCGATAAGGACTTGTATCTCGGGCCAGCTTATAATGAATTGACGAACGGCCGTTATACCCCGGTTCCGGTGAGATTCGCCGGAGCCAGCCTAGAGGATCTCAGGTACGAGCTGGAGGATCGCACGCGTTACATCGCTTGCGAGAAATCCTGCCACAGCTGGCCGTGTCAGACGAGATTTGGCGGTCGGGCAAGATTGCAACGCGCCGACGGTCTCTGCAATGTCCTTTTCGCAAGAAGTCGCAACGCACGTCGTCACGATTACGCGGCAAGTTGCAAAAGTTCGCCTTGCAACGTCTGTCAATTGGATAACAGTGTCGGCATCAATGTTCTTGGAAAGCACAGCCGATGTCACGGTTAGATTTGCAATTCGTAAATCTTCGTTATCTATTTAGAATATTTAGATACATTAAAAAAATCCAAGTTTCTCTATTAATAGAAATTTAAAAAATATATAGAATAATAGAGAAAGCGAATAGAAACGATATAATTTATTTATTAAACAAATAAAATATATTACAAATCCAAATATTCCAATCGAAACACATTGCATGAACGTCAATAATAAAAAATAAAATATTTAGAGCGCCGAAACATGCTCTTCGAAGAAGATTTCATCGAGCACGTGGAAAAGAAATACGGAAAACGCCAGCAACAATATCGGGAAGGACCAAAGAGACCTTTAGCGTCGAAGATATCGCGTTTCGGCTTTGGAGTGCCGGAGAAATGCAATTCCGAATTGATTCTGGGCCCTTATCGCGGCGATTCGGGCTACGTCGACGTCGTCGATCCTCGCAAGCTGATCGAGAGCGGCGTGACGATCTGGGAGGACAATTGCCGATCCTTGAAGGATAGGAGGCATCCGCGGAGATACGGCTTTTCCTCGGCGGCGCATTTCTTCCACGCGCTCGGCCCGTGGTCCGTACAACCTGGCGAACGGGAAACCGTGCAGACTCTCAGATCACCGAGCGCGGTTAACATCCGCAGACAACCCTCGGATCCGGAGCTGAGGCTTCCGGTCTCGCGCCGTCAATTGACAGCCAGCGTCTCCTGCGCCGCTTTGACATCCGGCGGATCCAGCATCATTGGCACCGTCACTAGGGGACGAGTGATACTCTTCTGGACGCCAGAATATTGGTACAGGCCTCAGGCAGCGGCAGCTGCCTACAGGTGATGCAAAAAGAATATATCTCATGCCGAAAACCATGTATACGCACTTATCTTTTAATTGACAGAAAATCAACTAAAACACGTCAACTTTAGCGAAATTTTAGAATGGAAATTCGTTCGATTTTAATTTAATTTAATTGTCCGATTTAACATCCAATTGCATTTTTTCATTAAATAATTTGAGAAGAGATCGTTTATCGTTAATTATAAGATGATTTAATTATAAGCTTGTCGTCTCTTGTTAGCTAATCCCTTACGTAAAGCCTCTTATGACAGAGAGCTGAGGCATCACTTGGCGTCTCTGCAGAACTTCCGACGCGGGAAGGAGAGGCAGACGAGAAGAAAGTTCTTCTGCCGACGAAAGAATCGGCTCTCAGGCGAGGGCTATAATTTCGAGGCTGTAATTACCGGGAAATCCAACAGTCTCTTGGATCGCGTGCTTTCCATCAATGGCGCGCGCAAGACGAGCGGGAAGACGAGCGAGAACGCCGACGACGTCGACAGGGGCACGGCGCAATTACGGAGATTGTTAAGGATGAATCTTCGCATCACCGTGTGGGACTTGGACAGCACCACCCTCGCCGCGCAACTCACCTCGATCGATCGCGATCTCTTCGTTCGCATCCCCGCGACTGAGATCGAGGCGCTGATCTATCAGAGATCGTCGCGCAACGCGCCGAATCTGGGCGCGTGGATCGCCTTCAGCCACCGGATCGCCTGCCTGACCGTCAGCGAGATCCTCGCGATCAGGCAGCTCGACATGAGGACCAGAATCATGGCGAGATTCATCAACGCCGCCGATAAGTGTCTCGCGCTTGGTAATTTTCAGTCCTGCAGGTCTATCCTGGCCGGTCTGCAGGCACCGCCGATTTATAGGCTTCGGAGAAGCTGGTCTTACCTCAGGACTCATCACGCCAGCAGGTTTCTCCATTAATCATTAGCGTCTCGGAAAATAATAAGCGTAAATTCTTCCTTTTACTGTTAAAAACTTTCATATTAAAGAATATGAAATTTAAACCAATACCAACTTCGAATTTAATAATATTTAATAATATTGTTATTTTTAACTGCCATATGTGTCGAAATTTATTATTTTAACTTCATTGGTTTAGTTAAATTAACATTATTTCAGTTAAATTAACGACATATTGAGTAAGAATAGAGCGCGACCTATAGAAATTATTAAAAATAACTTAAATTTAATACAATTCGACATTACGAATTTAAGTGTTGAGCTACCCGAATAAATTAATAATAAGCAAAATATAGAAAGTATTTTCCGATCTTCCGTTTTACGTTAATAATTCTATTTAGTAAATATAGAGAATAAATGTTTCTCTGTACTGACACAATCGTACACATTTTAGATACGCGGCGATGGAGAGACTGTCCAAGATTTACAAGAGCCCACGTTGTTCAAAGTACCAAAGAGCTTGGGCCGCGGCCAAACGCAATCCACCTTGTATGCCGTATGTTGGTCATTTTCTGATCAAAGTTCTAGGATTAAATGGCCTGAGGGAGATTCAAACGAACTTTGCAAGGAGACAGTCGACAGCGCGAGTCAACGAGGCTTCAGAATTTCTATCTATTAATAATAACTTCAACAATCTTCACTCGGGAGATGACAAGAGTCCGACGGAATCAAAACAATCTCTGGCCAGGCGTATTTTCGCAGCGACGCTGGCCAGGATAAAGTTCGCGGCGCGCCAGAACGTCGTCGACGAGACCAAAGGTGACGTCTGGACGTGCAGACAGCGATATCTCGCGCGCAGGTTTTTCCATCGTTGGCGAGTGATCGCGTTGGAATCGCGATTACGCTCGGAAAACGACAGAAAATTGAAGAACATGGACTCAAAGAGGAGATGTGTCCTCGATCTCGCAGCCTGGCTGACGGACCGTCAGAGATTCGCGTTGGGCTACAATTTCCCGTTGAACTCGTTCGCGTGTGAGTATCTTTTGAAAGCGCGTTACAGGGAGGACCGCGAGAACTTCTTCATCAGCCTCAAGCTGGAACCGCCTAGGACAACTTGAACTCGATGCGCGCTGAAAGATTTCGATCGTGATTAGTTACATCGTTGGGGATTGTTGTGCGATCGCTGATTTTAATTATCATGCGTTCATTTCGAGAGCAAAAGAGAACCGCAGCTATCTTATTGTTTCGAGTGCAATAAGACAGATAAAATATCGATATACTGCGCCAACTGCGCCGATGGTTCATCTAGAAACATTTGTTTTAAACATTGTCTTTAAGATAACGATGTACCATTCAGTATTACTTGCATACGATTTATTCAGAAGCACTTTTACTTAGAAAAAGTATCATATCTACACGCGCTTTGTACGATTATTATTGCTATAATAACTTTAATAAAAATAAGTCTTTGAATACTGTAAATATTAGGTAACGAGTGCTAATTGGTACTTTATATGTTTCTGTATAATTTGTTATAATTTGTTATCCGGAAAGGGAAAGGATTAAGACGATTTCTTTATCACCGTTTTATTCCGAACACAGTGTATACAATTGTTATTTTACACATGTTATACGCGTGTATATATAAATATGTATATATATATATATATATACATATGCATATACACACATATATATTCCTTCGCATATTTCTCTAGGAAATTTGTCAGTCGTAAACTTAAAAAATGTGTATGGTCGAAAAAGTGAATATCTGAACTGAATGATAAGTATCAGATTCTGACTAGATAACAACGCAATTTCGTGTATGTACAATAATGAAACGTCTACGTCATCGATTTAAAAGAAAAGATAGAGTAACGTAATATATACATATAATATCGGACAAGGGAACAGTCTTTTTCTGGCACGGAAATCGAGCGTGATTCTCCATCGATCGTGTCGCGATCGCCGAAATCCAATCTTCGAAATTTACAAGTTCTCTTTTAAACGTATGTATTATATATATATCACATATAATATATAGAGATATTTGCAATTTCAGAAAGATTCCGCTCGAATGCGCCCCCGGGACAATTATCTCGCACGACAAATCTATTTACGTATAAAACAAATATATATATATATGTATATATATGTTAACACATTTAAGATTGTAATTGCGACTTGCGCAATTCGCACAATTTTTGTTCCTCGAAAGAAGAAATAGAGCGGCGTCCTGCTCTTACGTTTTACAAGACGCGGTTTTCTTTCTTCCCCTCTCTCTTTCTCTCTCTTTCTTTTTTCCTTGACCATATAGGATTCTGCGCGCGCGACTTTAACGCTAACGCGAAATGCGTTTCCAAATGCATCGCGCGAGCGAGATACAGCCGCGAATACGCCGCTATCCGATACTTCGAAGGTCGAGATCTCTACGTTATATTAGAATAAAATTTCACGGAGTATCAAAATAATTATTCATGCTAATATTAGAGTATTAGAGTATTCTGCAAAAGTGGATCAGTAATTTAAAGAGGAATCCTTGCTTCAAACATTAATGTTAATGAGTCATTGATAAGTCGCGTCCGTTACAAATGTACAATTCCCTTTTGCCCGGGCGACAAGTCCGACGAAATAAAATACGTTAGTGATCAGTCGCGATTGAAAGGCCATGCTCGTTAGAATCGTCAGATTCTAACTTAGCGAAACACGATCGATTGAAGGATAGAAATATTTTCTCTCTCTCTCGAGTCTTCTTCTCGGTCCTTAAGTCTGTCGTCGATCTGATCCCCGATGTCGTTCGTCGTTCTGACGATTCTCCTCCCGAGTAAAACGCAGAGCCGCGAAGCTCTCTCTACCGCCACTCAGGCCACTTGGAAGAGTGGCCGGCATCGTTTCGCCGCCCCGCGGCGGCCGTCCCGCTTAAATCACATGCCGCCGGGTTTCGGAAGATTCGTGTCGTAGGCTCTGATCACGTCGGTCTGGGTCACCGAGCCACCCTCCTCTTGCGAGAACGCGAAACCATCTGCATCGCGCAGCATGCGCAATAACAAAGGTCGCAATTCATTAATCTCTGCCGCAAGAACGTTCATTAATGAGGCATGCGAGATGCGTGGGAGAGGTCTGCCTTCCTAATTTCTCTAATTCGCCGCGTCCAGCGATGAACTAGCTGTTCACTTTTATAAATATCAACAAATAAAAATATATGAATTTGTGACAATGAGAGCCGGGTGCGGTAATTAGTGCGCTATATACATTTATTATACTCTAGAACAATCAGATTGGACTAGCGTTTCGACCCTTTAATTCGTCGGGTCATCTTCAGCGCATAAAATTAGTAAATTATAACTCTTTTTTTTTATAAATTTTCGATTCACACTGTGAAGCAGTCTCGCTTCGAGACGAGACGAAACTTGCTGGCTCATCGCTAGACGCGTCCGTATAGCAGCCGGGAATTCACGGAATTGCTTCCTCCATACAATCCTTAATATTCGGTAAAGCGCTATTTATAGCAAGAAACAAAATGTTCTCTAATCTCGTTCCCGCTAATTAAAATCAGCTATATGTACAAGGCGTCCCGGAAGCGTCGCATTGTTATTCGAGATAAGGAAACTTTAAGAATAAAAGTGGAAGGACGCGACTTCCGGGACGCCTGGCGCAATGCATCGGCTGCTAAAAAAGAATATAAATTTCAGTTATAGAGGTAAAATACTGTGCATGTGCAAGAGTGTGCAGTTAATTAATCAAATTTATCGAAAAACACGTAGAATTCGTTCGAAATGGTAAATTTAAAACTTAGGACGGCACTCGTCGAATAAAATAAAGCTTACGAACGGACGAGAAGAACGGAATACCGTGAGAAATTAAGCGCGTGCTCGTGTAAAGAGTAAAAGTACGAGGGGGAAAAAAAAACACGTTGGAACACAGTTTACCCCAGTAAGAAAGTAGTTTCGCGAGGGTCATAGAGTCACGGGGGTGGGCGATCGATCCGGAAGACCGATCGGGAGGTGGGACCCGACCCCGGCGGGCATCGTAAACGGGAAATTTCTCCGGCTGTGTGCGAGACAACTTACGTGATAGCTCCACCTCGACACTGACTCTGGAGGCGGCGTTCGAGCGCCTGGTGAAAACGCTTTTAACATTTTTCAGCAACCTCGCCGTCTCGGTCAATCTGCAAAGCCGGGCAAGTCAGCAATGATTTAGAGATTCTCGGCTGGCTGGAGAGAGCTCCCTCGCGTCCATGGACAAAATTAATAATTCTCTCCTTTTTCTTTTTTTTTCTTTTTGCATAATGTCTATCTTTCACTGTCTATCTTTCTTTATCATCGCTTTACAATCTCTCGCCTTCGGGATGTTCTCGGCCGACAGTACTTTTCCAATCTCAACGCGAGCTCCGTGCGAGTTTCTTTTTTTTTTTTTTTTTTTTTAATTTCTTTCACACCGACGGATATTACGGATATAACGTGACAGTAAGTGCGGTGCAATTACCGTACAGGAATTAAATAAGACGAGAGAATGGGGTGGAAACCAAACGTGGAGATCGTGAGAGGGTGCGTGCAAATTTATTCGCAAAGGGAAAAATCGATACGCCCCTTACGCTCATTAGAAAATTAATTAATTAGTCATGCAATGCGCTGATAAGCCGGGGTGTACACGTAATGCAAACACAAGCGTGAGTAAAATAGTTACAATCACTATCATTAGGAATCGTCGTGAGCTACATCAAGACCTCGTGAGAAAAATTACGTGTTTGCCGTTTTCAAATCGCTGGTGCTCTGTGTCCTGGCCTTTTTTTTACCCAGCGCTACATATCAAGCGCCTACATCAAAACGATCATGCGTTTCTCGTTTAATCGGCAGTGTTCTCGCTTGTTCGTAGTGTGAAAAGAAGAAGGTATAAGTGGGAGGCACTTGAGAGAATTGTACTTGCTACTGGGGGAGTACTTACACCTCGCGAGATCGGCGATGGCATGCACAGGCCTGCACGGGATACCACGTAAGAGAACACATCAGAAAAGACCGCATTAACGAACAACAGATCGTTCACAGTGAACATTAGTATAGTAGCTGATACACCATTAATTCTACAAGCTCTATTACTTTCAAAGATTGGTAGGGTATTTGGACTCTTATAATACTACATCACTCATCCATTTATCATATATATGTATATATATAGGTGGGGGTCTGAATATAACAATAATCTAGCTCCATTGGAATATTTTATGTGCACGTATGTATACAAACTTAAAAAAAAATAAGGGATTGATTTGCCGTCAATACTGTACGCAAATGAGGAGATACACATTAATTGATGATAAGTAATGAAGTAAATGAAGGGTGTGTAAAGTAAATCTTTAATTTAAAACAAGGCAGGGTTAATAAGAATGATAATGATAACAGAAAACATATCAGATATATATATATATACAATAGAACCTGCAGCACGGAATCATAACGCATTATTTTTTACACTTGTAGAGAAGAAATAAAAACAATTAAACTAGAAATGAAAGGCGTGCGAGAGATTCTATTGCATATGACATGTTCAATACATGTCCGAATTAAATAAATATACAATTAAATTATATTTACAATTAGTAAATAATTATAATTGCATTCTTTGAATATCATACCAAATATTAAAAAAAATATAAGAAATGTATATATACATTTTAAATTAACTTATAATTTAAACAAAAAATATAAATATATATTTCTGGACACGCGAACGCTGGACGAATAATTCGCTGCTCATACGTATATAGAAAAGAGAGAGTGTCGCTGTATAAAATACAGCGCTTTGTTGCTTATTGCATTTTGTATTGCAGGATTTATCACGTTAATCCTAATATTGCACTCGAAAGGAATGTTCGCATATATTAAAACGCTTACTACATTGGCACTCTTGGAAGACGGGAGTCTTGGATGTTGGATGGACGGATTATTCAGGAATAGGAGATCTGAAGTGTTGCGGTTGATGCATGCTCGGAACGGTGCGTGAACCACGAGCCACGTGCTACAAACGGAAACACTCTCAGCCTACTGCGTCTTCGCCGCGGACAGATCAAGGTCCAATATCGATTTAACCATTGCTTCGTCGACCTCCTGTCATAATTCATATTTATCTGCTCGATTAGGAGACAACGATATTGGTACTATAAAACGTTTGTCACTTTCAAGCATTCCGATAAACGATTAACACGCAAGCGAGCAGACAAACGGCAGTGTTAGTTTAGGAAAACTGGAGTAAGTTTCTCGTAATTACATTAGATTAGATAGATAGTTGTTACATACATGCACCTAAATGTACCAAAAAAAAATAGAAGATTTTTGTCCACAGTTTTAATCAGACCACTCAGGCAATGTAAATCTGTTTTCAAGTATAAATATTACGCGAAAATGGAGCTAGAACCTAGAAAGCCATGCATAGTTTCGATAAGTCAACATAACGAAATATATATGATTATTGGAATGATTCATGCATCAATAACGGGTATTATATCCTTTTCTGCAATATATGCAAATCCTTTCGAAAGAAATTTATAATAAATCAATACTTTATCTTTCGAACAGCCTAAATTATCCGTAATAATAATAATGCAACCTTTCACTAAGTATTTGAAAAATATTGGAAAGCACCTCTTCTGTTATTTGGAATGTAACCTTGCGTATTTTCGATGTGTTAGTCTTTAACAAAAGAAATGGAGGCACTTACGAGCTTCTGTAATCCTGATTGTTGAATATATCACCAGGATCAGATTTCTTGATTTCATTCTCTCGGGCTGCTTCTGTTACGGACTTCCAAATAGTATTCCTCACTCTAGATACACGATAGAAACCATCGCCATATAAGTACAAAATATAGATATATCGTCCAAACGCTTAGTAGCATGCATACTTACGCCTTTACTGTGACATCCAGTAGTAATACCGCGGTAGGTATTAATATGAGTCCCAGCCAAAAAACAGGCGAAGAAAATAACATTCTATCATTGCCCAGCATCACAGCGCCGACGTTCAAGAAGGGCCAAAAATTACTGCAAAAACAAAAACGCATTAAACGTATTACGTATTACGTGTTATTACGTATTACGTGTTAGGAAGCTTATAACGAGATATTACGTTGAAAGAATCTTACCTATATATTAAAATAAATAAGAACCAGAGTATAATAGATCCCCATGTCGCCAAGTGGGTGACCCATGTCCATGAGTTTATTATTAGACCCGCCTTCGCGCATACCGTTACTACAACATACTGAGAAACCACATGATACGTAGATAATCTCTTTGACAAGATCACAATGTAAAGAATGTATGAGACTTACGGTATAGACAAAGTTTCCTAGTAGAAGATAGCCACCGTCTCTACCGTTCGCCCAAGCTACGTCTTGCTTCAAAGCCATTAGCGGCAGCCAATACAATAGCGACGAATGAATCAGCCCATTTATAATCCATACCCAAAATACCTGTTTGAGCATATAGATACATTTAGGAACGTTTCACTCTTTCTAAAGATATACTGTTACATTTTTAAATTTAACATTATTTGTATAGAAACATATTTACTTTAATATTGAAGAATGACTCGCCGTTATTCTTCGTCGCGTACAATCCCGGATGAGCCAAGTGAGTTTCCGCGGAACACACTTTGTCAAAGAGACCCATAGCTAATGGAGGAGCAGCAGTAAAAACCTAGAAAATACACCGAAATCATTGGAAATAGAATTAACTCTATTTTTTTTTCTTTTTTAGCAAAATACTATTGTACAGTTTTTAAAAACTTACCACGTTGTAAAGTCCAATTGACCATCTTTCGAAAAGGATCTGTCCGGACCAGCCGGAATAGATGGCAAACCATAATTCGATAACATATAAACAAATATTCTTGTAAAACGAATACAAGATTAATTTACACATTCTGCTATAATTCCAAGAACCGTGAACGAATAACAGACGTTTCAGGAAACGAAACTGTGCGATGGAGTAATCCGAGGCACAGGCCGCTTGAAGACCCTCCACACCCGAGATGCCTGCGAAAAACGGAACATCGCGATGTTTCAACGATATAAAAATATTCGACGAAAATTGATACGGGCGATAAAACTTACCGACGCCGATGTGAGCTTTTTGTATCATGGCCACATCGTTCGCGCCATCCCCAATCGCAAGTGTCACCGCTTTCTTGTTACTCGTGATTAAGTCAACCACCTAAATGAAAGAAGTCGGAACATTGCGATTGATCGAACATTATGTAAATTCAAACATTAGAATTAAAATGTTACCTCAGCTTTTTGAATCGGCGATACTCTGCAACAGATGACGACTTTGCAAGCTGAACATAATTCCAAGAACTCCATCCTGATGTCGCAAGACAAAGCATAGTCTAACGTACTGCCGTCTATAATCAGGGCTACTTCGTTTTTGCATTTTAAGTCAATCCCAAAATCAAGACAGCGTTGGATGATGACTTCTCTTGTTTTCTGTGAGACATATTACGTGAGACGTTTTACGTTAGGTCGACTAAACGCTTAAAACTTCGATAATCACCTACTTACATCCAAAGAAGATTCATTAATAATGTAAAGTGGCATTCCGTGCGTTATCAATTTACACGAGTAACCGATATTTAGGGCGGTTTCCTGCTTATCTCCCGTCAATACCCAGACATGGATATCAGCTTGTATAAAAGCCTGTATCGTTTCTGGAACCTAAAATTATGCGATATTGAAAGAAATGTAATAAGTAATAAGTTTCATTGACGTTTAGCTATTTAATTAATTAATAATATATTCTATACTTGATCTTGTAGTTGATCTTCAATCGCAGTTGCTCCTAATAACGTGAGTTTACTCTCAATAAAATTCGCAGCTTGATCCAACATAGTTTCGCGATTCCTAACACTGATCGACGCTTTATGATACGATTCGCGCCACCACTGTGAAAAGTTATCGAAAGTTATTAATTCAATACTACAATTTATTAAATTCACTCTTTCAAAACAAGATAGAATACACACCTGATAAACATTTTCGGGTATTTCCGCGGAGGCGAAACAAAGCGTTCGCAATCCGTCCGTGGCGAAAGCTTCCAAATGCTCTAGGGTCGTCTCACGAAAATCATCCGCGTGTTCTAAATCAAGATCGCTAGTTTCTAAAGAAGCCGACATCAATCTTTCGTAAATAGCCGAGTCCGCGCCTTTGCAAAAAATTTTAATCTTTCCCTCGGGCGTTTTCACGATCACCGACATACGCTTCCTGGCCGAGGTGAATTCTATAACGTTCAGGATTTCGTATCGCTGCGTCTCGCCTAGAGCTTTGATTTCCACGTAGCTGGGCGTTCGCATGTCAAACACGTAGTTAAAGTTACGTGCCCCATCTACCAGCGCTCTTTCATCTAACATAAAGAAGGAAGAATGGTAACGTAACTCGTTAAACGCCGTATTGTGCTAGCAAAAATATTCGCAGGCAATTTTTACCAGGAGACGCAGCGTGATAGATTATGGAATCGTCTATTTTTTCGGGAATAACCGTGTGGCAAACTGATAACATGACCATAAACTCGTGAAGTATGGCCGCGTGCTCCGCTTTCTTCTTGTCGATAGGATTCGAGGAGTCCCGCACGGCTCTTCCTTCCAAAATATCCTTAATTAAATCGCAATTGCTGTCACTCGTACTTCCGTGGCCGTTTGAAGGATTTGGCAAACTGTAAAATGTTTACATTCGGGAAAATGAGTATTTAAATTGCCAGTTTCTACAGTAGAGAAAAAAAAAAGATATACCGTTGGCATGGAACTTACTCATACAATCTTCCGCCGACTGAACACCGCTTAAACTCCATGACGTTCTTCGTAAGGGTGCCGGTTTTATCCGTGAATATGTACTTAACTATCCCGAGTTCCTCGTTCAGGTTACTCGTACGAGCCATCGCCGGAGTGTTCGTTTCCGGGTGATACATTTCTATGTCCATGTTAATAAACGTAGCCTGAACGAATCTCACTACCTCGAGCGTCACTTGCAGCGATATCGGTATTAAATTATTGAAGAGAATAATAAACGTCAGCAGATTGAAAGCGAAGTTCTTAGTAATTTCCTCTGCAATGAGAAGAAGAACGAAGCTCGAACATCCTCGAGAGTGCCCGCGTGTGCCACGTATTTACCTTGCAATCCCAGGTACCAGAGGCCTTCCTTGTTGGCGTTCGTCCACACGGCGTTGAATATCGCGGAAAGAATGCACAACAGAAGAAGTATGAAAAATAGCATCAGTGTCTGCGTGTTGATCAACCGATCCAGGGTGGATCGCTTCAACGGCGCTGTCGCGGTATTATTCTGCATGAGTTTCGTATCGTGTCCCGTGTATATGACTACACCAAACACCCACCGTGTGTTCCGCAACATCGCGCCACGGAGTAACAATTGATCGGGCCCTAAAGCTACACTCCTGTGAAAGAACAACGCTTGTAACGACGCATTAACTGTCGCACGATATAAAGATGTCAAGATTTTAACAAATGCCAAGACATTTTCATTAATAAAAATACGATACATAATAAATATAATAGAAGCTTCATAAATTACTAGAGAACGAATTGATACAAAGAATAAAGTGATATGGGAGAGAATTTATCTTTTATATTAATTGGAATTAAATAACGACGGATTGGCGTAAACAAAGCGTGCAGAGAAAAAAAATGTACTTTATGGTAATGGTATATTTGTGGTCTTACTGTTTATTGGTCTCCCGTAGGACTCCGTGAAACTCGTATAAATGCCTGTTGGGCGGCTCGCATTGAATGTTCGCGTGAAAATTCATTAATTCCGCAGTATCTAAGAGATTGGCAGTGTCGGAATGGGCCTGTCGGATCTTCAGATTCGTCTCGCCGTCCAGGTTGGCGGTCTCTATGAAGGACATACCCTGTGGTTCCGACGACGACAACATAATCAAGTCAGCGGGGAAGAAAGTGTTGTTGTGAACCTATGCATATTAAAAAGGGCGACTCTAGCGAAGGGACGTATTCGACGATTAATTATCATCACATGAATGATCTTGGTGAAAACAGGCAAACCTTAACCACATCGCCGACGGCTATGGCGCGCCACTGTATCCACTGCCAGCGCCCGTCCCTCAGCACCTCCACCTCTCTCATGTTTGTTTCATCGTCCGCTCTGTGCCTCTTCTAAAAATTGACAAATACCTCTCATTAAATTACGGGTCATAATAACGAAAAATATATAACAAATATATAAAATTATAACGAATATACGTACAACGTCCTCGACTATCTCTTTCAAAGCGGACACGCTGAGAATGAAAATCAGTGGAACCAATGTTGTCCAGCGTCCTGTCGGAGACACGTCTGGTATTTGCTAAAATTTAAATCAGGAAGAATGTTAAACGCCGTTGACAGTACTGAACACAGCCAGAAATTCAACGAGAATACATCAAACGCTTCTTCAACGATTCTTTAATTTAAAGCTAGAACAGCCAACGTTATTTTGATATATGTATATAGACATTTTACATACAAAACTTCGAAATTAGAGGTTGATGGTTGATGGAAAATAAATTGGTATATATCATAATTTTTTTATCTTGACAAAAGTTAGTATAATATCCAACAAACAAAAGCACCTTAATAATTTTTGTAATTTAAAATAAGAAATTTGAAATCTGTTATTTTCGGGGTTGATTGTTCTAGCAGTAAATCTGCTTTAGAAGCATCTATGAGAAAGAATTGTTGAAGAATTTATCCCGTTATATCCGTAATAATTCTGCGTGCAACACTCTACCTGCATGAGTGCGATGAACAGGAAGAAGCAGTTACTGTAGCGGCGGAATTGTTCGAACAGGAACAGAGGTACGAACGACAGAAATGTATACTTGGCGGTAGTAACGTGATTGTTTCTGTATTTCGCCGGCTGATGAGGGGCATTGACGAAAATGACCCTCTCTTCGCCATCATTCTGTTGCCCGCCTAGCTGATCGTCGCCCTGTGAGCCACCATTTTCCGCCCTTACCGGGCCAACTGCAACACAGGAAAAATCCAATTTAATTTTATACATGTCGTTTGCGCATGTACAAATAGGACATTTTTCTAATCTCGAGCTTAAGCCTCTGTAGATTTCGATTTTCCTTCTTCATTTAAATTCGGAGTCGCGATCAATAATTAACCCGCTACAGCGCGCCACGTGTCTCGTAGTCATATATATCCACGTATCTATATTTTCCAAGTCTCAATTTAATCAATAATTTATTGGAATATTTAACATAATGAATAATTATCCAAGTGAAATATTCAATTTCATGAATAATTTAATCAAACATTCTCAATTTTTCTTTTGTAATTCCTTTCCGTGAGCAAGAAAGATTTCTCACGGAAAATTATTACTCGTTCAACTTATCTCGGAAAGGAATCGACATCGTTTTACATTTCCCGCAAGCACCACCCCCCGCGAAACGATCGCGCGTCTCTAGACCCTCTAAGACCCGCATTTCTCCACTCGTCAGATACAGAAATATACCCTCGGCCGAAGGAAAGGTTAATGTAAAGAATAAAGTCACGCTACTTTATCGGAGATTCCAATCGTACGAGCGTTATTATATATATATATATGCCCGAGATATAAATGACATTCGTATATCGTGCCCGGATATTTCTTCTATAGCCGTCCCCCCACGGCCGTGTAACACGTTCCGCCCATCGAGCGATTGGACTGACAGTTGTGCCGCGACACGAACAATTCGCAACAAATGACCGCTATTAAAGTATCATACGTAAACTCGGTAAACTCGAAAGATAAACAATACGGCCGTGAAAATCGCGGCGTGTATTCCTGGCCGATGCGCGCCGCGAGCGCGATTTACGCAAGAGGCTTCAGTTTATCGTCGTGCATGCGTAATTTGCACCTATCGCTTATCGCGAGAGACGTAATACTGACTTTAGATGTTTGCTATATATAGCTATATATAACTACTTTATTTATTTGCCCTCGACGTCGGATAAGGAAGAACTAAATGGCAATCAAATACATCTTGAGTTAACATTATCAGAATATTATTTATTTTTCCTCGACGTCGGATAAGCAGGAAGAACTAAATCACAAGCGTCAATCAAATACATCTTGAGTTAACATTGTCGGATATATTTTGATTTTATTAACAGAGAAGCTCTGTGTATTTTGTACATTTAAGCGAACCTTCTACAACTGGAAGTCTGTATATTTTAATTAGCACGATATTTCGCGCACTTTACGTCAACAATTTAGCCAATGCTGTAAACGACGAAAATACATCGCGTTGTATACACGGAATTGAAAAAGTATGACGTAGATTTATTGCTATCGTAGAATATAGACTTTCACAATTTTACGAGAGACACTTGCCGCGCCGACTCGGGAATAGCAGCTATACGTCAGTGGAATAAAAGATAAGCGGTTACAACAGAAAAGAGAGATAAGCGCGCTTAATTAATAATCCAACGGGAACTTTTAGCTACGACGTAATTTAGTGTTCAGAAAGACTTGGACGTTCGCAAACTCAGGCGACTTATTACAATTAATTCCTAACAATGTACATTATTTTATACAAAAACATTACATAAATTATATATTAATTAAATATTAAAAAGTATACCTATATAATAATTCGTGATAATGCTATATACGTACTACAAATGCGTTATACATTTACCACCAGATACATTCTTGAATCAAAATAAGAAGTAATCTTTATCAATTAAAAATTCTTGGCTCGAGCAATATCGGCGCCACTATTGTCGGCCTTGCATCACGTAGATAACGCGAGTGTTAAACTGAAATCCCGGCCGCGTGAAAATTGTTGGAAAATTCTCGGAAAGCGTACTTATATAAAGAAGAGACCTTCCGCAATAAGCGTTGCCAAAGCATTGTTAAATCGTTACGAAAATTCACCAGGTGGAAATCACCCAGTGAACGATCGTTCGCGTATAGTTCCACGTGGTAACGACAGGCATTCCCGTGAGCTTTAACTATTTAGCTGTCGATCGACTCCTCCCCCGCGCGCGCTCCTCCTCGACGACGACGACGACGACGACTTACGGGTCTGGGCGTGCAGGTAAAGGTGCACCCGGGACCTGAGTTCGTTGAACCACTGCACCAGCTTCGTGACGGCGACTTCCATGATCGTCACGCGTATTTTAAGACGTTTTCGCCGGGGATCTCTCTCTCTCTATCTCTATTTCTCTCTTCCCTTCCGGCACACACGCGCACACGTATTTGACGTTTCTCACATGCCTGCACGCGCGCTACGCCCTTGCCGATTCATGTTCGGCCTCCGTAGTATACGAACGTCTCTCTCTCTCTCCCTTTTCTCTCCCTCTCTTATTCTTTCTCTCTCACGCGTGCGGCACCCGGATCAGAGCCCGTGGGGCGGCCGGATCGACGGAATAGCAGCGGCGTCGCCGCATCGGGGAAAACGGCAACGGCACGAGGAAGACGCCGACGACCGGGGAAACGCGGCTCGGATCGCCTGTAAAGCCCCCCCCGATGAATAATTCTCCCCCTTTAATTGCATCGATCGTCGCGCGCGACGTGCCGCGCAACGACGTCGGTGCGCGTCGCGTTCGCTTCCATTCGGGGAGGAGAAGGAACGGACGGACGGACGGACGGACGTCCGCGACGCCGCGCCGTCGCCGCGCCTCCACCTGTCGCGGTTAGCTTTTGAGGTTATGTCGAGGCGAGCTCGAGGAAACGGTCTCCCCGCCGGATAAATCGGCCGGCTTATCGCGACGCGCGATTATCCGCGGTTATATATTCGCAAACGTTTTGGACGAACGTTTTGGCGAACGTTCGACGAACGGACTCGCAAGGATGACGCGAAGGAAAGTCCGCACTCCGCACCGATGCATGCACTGTCATCGCGATGCGTCGCGCGTTGCATCGCACACAATGTACACATCGCACCGACGCGACGCGCCGACGACGACGTCTCCGTCACGTGCTCCGCGACGTATCTTATACAGGGTGTCCGTGCGTATTTTATCGGTCTTCCCGAGACGCGGTAACTTTGACAAATATATAAATATTTATAATAATAAAATAATTGTACACTGTTATTAATTAAATATTAAAGGACGAAACTTAAACCATGATACCCTGAGTTAAGTAGCATTTTATTTTTTCAACTACTACGTGTGTTGAAATTTATTATTTTA